GTCCTGCTTTTGCCTAAAATGAGCTGGTGGTGAATCAATGCCTCATTTCAAGAGTTGATCATGGGGCTTCCCTGGTGGCGCAAACTATGAAGTTGTTTGCAGGCTCTGTAGCACGAGTTCGATCCCAGGCTGGCCAGAGAGCAACCCACATGGTGCAGCAGACCTCTCCTGACTCCCCCGCTGCTCCCCTCAGCAGTGCATTTTGTCAGTCTGCCTGCTCTGTTCCCCACTCTGTCTCTGGTGAATCCTCTCACCTCCCGTACCTCTGGCCTGTATCCCAGCTCTTATAAATAAATAAATCTTAAAAAAAAAAAGAAAAAGAAATTGAGCTTTGAAAGATAGTCTTAAAGTTCAACTCTGAAACAAGGGAGCTGGCAGGCATGATATGGGAGGAGAAGTTTCAAAAATGCTTGAAAGCTTCCCCACCCAGGTCTAGGATTTCCTAAATCCAGATCACCTGGGGCACTTGTGAAAAACATACTCCTGTTACTGTCCAGATGTCCCAGGCATCTCAGAGTAGGCTTAGGAATTTGGGTGGTAAGGGGTCTTTCTGCTCTACAGGTTTGAGAAACATTGCCCAGGGCCCTTAACCTGTGCAGTCATAAATCTTGTCAAGGCAATGAGGCCTTGGTATCAGGGCCTTCCTCATTCCTAAACTGTTTAGAACTGCAAGACCCCATTCCAACACACTGGAGAAAACACTAGTGTGCCTGTGAATCCCAACAGAATATTGTGCTTATCAAATGCACCTTGGGGAATTCTTATTTTATTGCTTCAAATAATGCCTCGGGCAAGTTTATGACTCAGCAGTTATTGCAAGATGATCTGTCCTACCTGGATTATTTTAATGCACAGAGGTTGCTGGGAAATGGCCCCGGGAGGGCAGCAGTGGGGGGAGCACCACTGGGTTTCCTAGGAAGACCAGCTCGACTGGTTCCAGGATGACAAACCTGAACCAGGCATGCCCGACTCCTGAAGCTCATGCCAATTGTTACCTCCCAAGTTCACACACATATCCCCAAGAACACACATTTACACAGGGAAGCCAGAGATCCTGGGCCTTTTCTAGGCAAAACACTGCTTCTTGCTTTCTCCAACCCACCCTTCCTGCCCTGCCAGCTCTAAAGGCAGCTCTAATAAAGTTGCTTCTGCTCAGAATACTTTGACAGTTCCTACTCCCATCCCATCCTACTGCAGCACCCCGATCTGGCACTCAGGGCTGTGATAAAAGCTACAACTCTAGGGGAAGGCAAAATAATGATTCCCAAAGGTGATCAGGTCCTATCCCCTGGAACCTGGGGATGAAGGTGGTGGATGACAAAGGGACTTTGCAATTGTGATTATGCTAAGGACTTTGAGAAGGGGTTTTCCTGGATTGTTTGGCCCAATCAAATGACACAAGTCCTTAAAAGTGGAAAACCTGGGCCTCCCCGGTGGCACAGCAGTTGAGCACTGGGTTGCGAAGCTGCCCGCAGCCTCTGCAGCACCGGTTCGATCCCTGGCCACCGGGTGAGGGTCCCATACGGTGTGCAGACCTCTCCTGCCGCCCGCTGCTCCCCCGAGCAGTGTACTTCATCAGTCTGCCTGCTCTGCTCTGGTGAATTCTCTCACCCTCCCGCGCTTCTGACTGTACCCAGTGCTTGTATAAATAAATAAATAAAATCTTAAAAAAAAAAAGTGGAAAACCTGGGGCCTCCCTGGTGGCACAAGGAGTTAAGACACAACCTATGAAGCAATCTGTAGCCACTGCAGCACGAGTTCGATGCCCTGGCTGGCCAGGGAGCTACCCACATGGTGCAGTAGACCTCTCCTGACTCACCCACTGCTCCCCTCAGTAGTGTACTTCAGTCAGTCTGCCTGTTCTGTTCCCCATTCTGTCTCGAGTGAATCCTCTCATCTCTCACACCTCTGGCCTGTACCCCATGTATGCATAAATTAAAAAAAAAAAAGTGGATAAGTTTTCCTGACTGTGGCTAGAAGATGGGATGAGGGAAGGGTCAGAGATGTGATGCTGTTGGCTGGGAAGACGGAGGAAGGAACATTGGGAAATGTGGACAGCCTCTAGAAGATGGAAAAGGCAAAGAACTGGATTCTCCCTTAGAGACCCCAGAGAGAAATGCAGACCCACATCCCCAGACATCTTGGTTTTATCCCAGCAAGGACCCTAATTCAACTGTAAGGTAATAAACGTGTATTAAGACACTAAAGTTGTGGTCACTTGTTATGACAGCAATAGGAAATGAATACATTCTCCAGTCAAACTCCCTCCAAACTAGCAGTCACCCTTCTGATCCCAGATACCATGGGATCTGCACTCCACCCCCGACTCCTTTGCCCTCGCTGCCCCTGTCCAGGGCACTTGATCGCTTCTTTCTTTTGAATTCTTATTAACAATCGCCTTTCTCACTGTCCTCAGCCTCTACCACCTGCCATCAGCATTCACTCTTCTGCCTGCTCCCCACTAGGCAGGAACATCCTGGAGGCAGTGCCTGTGACATTTCCCTCTGGACCCCACAATCAGGCACGACCCACAGACGTTTGCATAGTGGACCTGGGGCACCCATGGGCAGCTCTCAGCCCCAGCAGCATCACGATCACCTGGGGATCACAACGAGAATTCCAATTCTACCCAATCGCTGTGGAAGAACAGGTGGCAGCTCTGCATGTGTCACTGGGGGAAGATTTCCAAGATACGGAGTTATGGGAAAGAGGCAGGGAGTGGGCAGAAAATGGGGCTATTTCTGTGAAAAGGGAGAAGTTTTTACGTAGTTTTAAAAAGAAATGACTCTTTAGAAAGAGATGAATAGGTTAAAAGTACACAGCCACCTAGAACTTTCTGAATGCTGTACCATATGGACATGTTAACTAGTCACAAAATAAGTACAATCAAAAAAATTCAAAACACAGCTCCTGGCTGTGTTGCCAGAAAAGGATCTGGGGTCCTGGTGGGACACGGGCATCTGTGTCTAAAGTGTAGTCTGCCAGCTCATCCCCGGCTAGGAGCTGCCTCTTCCTGACTTGGAAGAGGGCAGAGCCAAGGTGTAAGGCATATTTGGAAGCATAAAGTTAACAAGCACACACTGTCAGAAAGAGAAACCAAAACTCTCCCAGGCTTGTGGACCCACTGATTTAGCCCCACTTCTGCATTTTATGGACAAGGAAAGGGAAAGTTGCCCAAAACTACACAATCAGCCAGAGCCACAGGCTAGTGTGCCAGGAATGTCTGATGATGACAGTGACATCGACTCCCACCCGTGTCCACGCTCAGGCAGGGACTTCGCCCTAGGAAGATCAAGCTGACTCACGGGCAGGAGGCTAGGAGGCTAGAGAAGAAAACACCATCTTTAATCAACCCACCTGCACAGAAGCCAGGGGAACACTCCCTGCCTTGCAAGGGCCCAGTGAGAAGAGAACTTGATCCCCTTGCAAAAACCATCTTATAAAAACAAAAGGCTTCAAAGCACCAGTGGCTAAACCCGTTGAGTAGAAAGGGGGTAGGGGTGAGATGACCGCTGGCTGGGAATGGAAGAAGAGGGCTGGAGGTAGGATTTGGCCTGAAGGGAACTGTCCCCCTTGAGCTGTACCCACCCACTGACCGTCTAGGATGATGGTGCCCGTGGTGGCCACAGGGGCTCCTGGAGCTGGCTCCTCGGTACAGCTCTGCAGATGGGATGGTGGGGCAGAGTCCTAGCTTGAGATATTTTGGCCCCGGACATCAGGGAAGCTAGAGGACAGGGTAGAGAGCAAAGAATGCAGTGGCCAGCATGGACGGCAGGTGTGCCAACCCCTGCACTTCTCTCTAGCTCCCCCGAGCCTCCCATCCTTCTTCCAAACCCAGGACCACTCCTGCTTCACAGACCAGGAAGCTGAAGTCTGATCCTCCTGCGCTCGGCTGCGCCAGCTGGTGCAGGACCCAGGAGTCCTGTGAATGTGGAGGGAGGTGGGAGAATGAGCTGTCAACTCTACTCGCTCTCAAGGAAGGGTGCTGTGCTCCACAGCCCAAGGGCCATCCTGCCAATGCTGCCTTTTCCGAACAGCTCCTGGGCTTGTTGGAAATGGCTCCTGGACACTGGAGAGGTCATAAGCGCTGGTGATCTGGAACATGAGTGACCGGCCCTCTTCCGCTCTAGAACCACAGCTTTTCCAGCTGATGAGGTGGGTGGAACCATCGGTATTGGTGGGGTTGCTGAGAGGGGACCACGGGTGCAGCAGACCCTAGGTTCTCAGGGACCTAGGAGGTGGTGAGGCAACTGAGTTGTGGCCCCCTTTTATTGGAGAGAGCATGAACAGTTTACCAAGGGTGGACAAAGGGTGAGTTTAGGGAGGCTGCCCTGTGGGTCAGGCTGGATTCAGGGCTCTGTCCATCCAGTTCCCAATAAGAGCATATTGATTATATTGCTTTAAGAGAGGCGCTGGCAAGTGGTGGCTGTGATGTGAGTGTGGTGTCGAGCGCATGGGTGCTAGAGAGTTCAGGCGGGGATGGAACCCAGAGAGCAGTGCTGGCTTCTGGAGTCTGAAACTACAGGAAGGATGCTGCCCGAGGACTGTGGTCACCTGGAGCCAAGGCTGTGGTCTCCAGCAATCGCTTCATGTCTCTGGATCTCAGTTTCCATGGCTGCAGAATGAGTCTCATCCTGCAGTCTAGCCCATGGAATTGACAAGGGCTAGAAAGAATACCACCTGCTAAGGGATTGCTTTAATGGAGATGGGGAAACTGAGGTCCAGAGAGGGCCTCAAGGATGTCAGAGAGTCAGTGACGGAGCAGTGAGTAGAACCCAGCACTCCTGACCCTAGTTTGCTGGCATCTTTCCCCAGGACTGGGGTATGCATGGGTTGTCTGTCCATCCTGCCATATCTCTCTGGACAGGGAACAGGATGCTGGGTGAAGAATGAAAGGGAGAGGCTGGAGAAAGGAGGGAGGCCCCAGAACAGGCCAGGGCTGAGATAAAAAAAAATACAAACCCCACGATCCCCCTCCCCCGCCCCGCCCTGCCCCACCCCTTAAGTCCGTGCTGCAAAGGGCCACCAAGTCCAAGAGGGCAGCAGACCCAGATCCAGCTAGTGCAGCCTGCAGTCGGCCCGGGAGCCGCCAGAGGGCGCGCCTGCCCATTTTCGCCAGAGTTGGCTGCAGCGCTGTCAGTCCAGCCACCAAGTCTGCAGGGGTGGGCGCGGGGCAGAAGCTACCCGGACCTGCAAGAAACAAAGGCAGGCTAGGGAAGTGGATCTCAAAGTATTGGGGCTGTGAGAACGGGCTGCCTTCCCAACACTCCCTCCCCTTCTTTCCACTACACTGATGCCTTGGTCCCTCCACGCCACCCGCTCCACGCCAGGACCCACGTGTATAGAGGCTGCAGTTGTAAATGCGACGTCTTCTGGGGCGCCTGGTATCCGTAGGAGTCAAAGCCACCGATGAAATCAACTGTGGAAGGGGACGTGACACAAGGTTAAGGACGCGCCTGTGGGGTTGGGCTGCTGGAGGCTGGGTCCGAAAGGGAAGAATCCGAGAAGCCTGCCCTTGTGCAGGACCTAGGGGTGGGCTCTGCTGCGGGTCGCTCAGGGATGTACCTAAGGAGGCCGGTACTAGCTCGGCAGGACGGGGTCAAGTTCCTCAGAGGACAGAGAATTTGGGAGGTGGGAGTTGGGGTGGGGGTGGGAAGCAGTCCTTTAAGGGAGAAGGCTCTAGGGGACCGGGTTGAATCACCTAAGGAAGCAAGACCTTTGTGGGGTGAGACTGGGAATAACCAATTCTGGAAGGGTGGGGGAGCCCCTTCTAAGGGCTGGGCTTAAGAGGGGCAGGTGGGGGGGTGCTGGGCCTTAGATTGGGCACCCGGATGTCAGGCCCTCAGCCTAGAATGGGCTGGTTACAAAGAACCTCCCCTGCCCATCCCTTGTGCCTCTTCTTTCCCTCAAGAGGGACTTTCGCCCCCCTCCCCACCCCCCCTAGGCCTTGTCCAGGGTGCTGAAGGTGCGGGGTGGTATGCCCAGGCGTTCCCTTCCCTAGGGGCTCTCACTCACAGCTGTCCTCCTCTTCCAGGAACACTTTGCTCACGTAGCAGGCGAACACGAAGCCAAAGAGCTGCGGTGGAAGGGGCAAGGAAGTCAGGGAAGCAAGGAGAGAGCTCTTTCTCCCCCCACCCACTGCTGGCCCTGCCCACACCACTGGAGGGTAGGGGTGTGCTAAGATGAAAGCAAACCCACAACAAGTTGGAGTTAAATGACTGTCCCTTTAACTCGAATATAGCTTGTTCCATTCTCCCTTCTGGGGGTGTGACTCTGAGCAAGTAATTATTTTACTTCTTAGAGCCTCAGTTTCCCCAGATAGACCAGGGTAATACCTCACCAACTTGTTGAAAGGAAAACAGATTGTGTGGCTTTGTGTGTAAAGTGCCCAGGGCAGGGCCAGCCCTCTAGGAATGGGAGCTGTTGCTGTCTTGGAGTCATTCTCATTTTATTCTCACAACTCTGTTGAGACTCGTATTGTCATTCCTTTTTGTGGATAAGGAAATCAGCCTGGAGAAGGCAAGTAACTTGTCCAAGGTCACCCAACAGGTTAATTAGAAATTTAAACCCAGGTTTGGGATCTTATACCTGATCCTATTCATTAAACCTGCTCACTGGGGCCTCCCCTGGTGGCGCAGGGGTTGAGCGCTGGGCTGCAAAGCTGCCAGCAGCCATAGCAGCGCTGGTTCGATCCCCAGCCGCTGGCGAGGGTCCCACATGGCGCAACAGATCTCTCCTGCTGTGCCCGCTGCTCCCCTCAGCAGTGTATTTCGTCAGTCTGCCTGTTCTGTTCCCTGCTCTGGCTCTGGGAGTTCTCTCACCCTCCTGTGCTTTCTGACTGTACCCAGTGCTTGTATAAACAAACAAACAAACAAATAAATAAATCTATCTTAAAAAAAAAAGAAACCAGCTCACTCACTGAATAGGGGTTGAGGCAGGGGTAAAGGGAGGGGGTACAAGAAATGCAAGAGCCAGGCAGAAGCAGAGGTAGGTTGGAAGACCTAAGTCTGTCCTTTCTTAACTATGGCTACATGAAGGAGTTGGGGTAGACTCCACCTCTGAGAATGTGTGTGTGTGGGGGGGAGCGGGGGGCAGAACAAAGCGTACTCACAGCCAGGAAGATTTGCAGGGCACTGCTGAGTGCTTCAATATAGGGGTAGTCAAGCAGGCAGCCAGTAACAGAGATGACATGGTGGTCCTCCAGGGCCAGGCGGGAGTTCAGGACAGGTGTCACCAGGCAGCCCGGCCCATTCTCCATCCACCAGGAGCGGTGCAGGGATGTGTTGAAAGTCATGATGAAGTCCCGGTCCTGGGGGCGGGGGGGCCTGGGATACTGAGCTGGGGGGAAGGTTCCTCCCCAGGCCCCAGGAGACTATATAGAAGGCCTAAGTCACACCCGGACTGTGGCAGCAGCCTGCTCTCCAGACTCCACTTGTGAAAGGCCTGGAGTCTGTAGCTGCAATTCTATATTTGGCCACTAGGTGGTGCTTGATGACCACGCAGGCTTCATTCTTTTATCAGCTGATCCACAGGAGCCCCAGAATTTTAGTGACCAGGTCCAATTTTCCAGCCATTGATGAAATCCTCAATACAGGCCCGTTCACGGCCCCTTCAGCCTCCCACTGCTTTCTGTGTGTGACCCTAGGCACACCCTTAGTCCTTGGTCTCCCCATTTGAAATGGAGACTGACCCAGACCAGAAGTTTCTCCCCATAGTGTGCATCTGTATGTTCATCAGTTCATTCAGTCATGCAGCCAGTTAAATATTTACTCTGTGCTGGCCAAGTGCCAAGCACTGGGATGTGTCATCTCATTTCATCCCTTCAGCAATCACATAAGTTGGGTTGCTATCATCTGCACTGACAAGATGCTCAGGGAGGGTAAGCCACTTGCCCAGGGTCACACAGCTAGGCAATGTTAGAGCTGGGACTCAAAGTCACTGGACTACAAAGTCAATGCTCTCATTCTTAAATTGTTCCTCTTTTATATCTAAAAATAGAAGTTGTGCCCTCTGGGCCTGCAAGTTAAATACTTCTTCAAGTTTCAATACACCCATTTTCTGCCACAGTTCTCCATGTGACCTGGCACATTCAATTTCCCCAGAATAAACTCTTAACTAGCCCTTCCCTTCTGAAAACTATCAATCAGAACTAGGCTCAAATGTCTGTGGTCCAAGGAGGGTAGAATGCTCAGCCTTTGCATCCTCCTTTGCTCTGACCGCCTGGAGTCTGGGAGGTGCTTTATGATCAACTAGGACCCCACCCCTCTTCATCAGACTGCCCTTCAGCCATGTCTCCTCATTATTTGTTTCTGAGAGGCACAGAGGAGACCAGAAACAAAAGCATGGGCCTGAGGGGTGGGGAACACAGATTATTTGGGGGCCTAGAGGGAAGTTTCTTTGAAATGGTGCCCAGGCCCATGGCCCACTAGGAGCCCTTGGCGGCGGGGGGTGTTCAGGCTCTGTCCCCAGCACTGCCAGGCCTGAGACTTACCTGGGACAGCTGTCCAACCTCCAGGTAGAAGCAGATGATAAAGGCATTCCAGCCAACCCAGAGCACCAGCCAGGCTGCATACTGGGGAAAGCAGAGGAGAGGTCAGGGGGCCCTGGGCGTGTGGACGGAGACAAAGCTCGGGGGGTGAGGATATCTTTGCTGGAGAAATAACTGCAATACCTCACTCAGAGAGCATTTTATGGTCCTCAAATCATTTTTACATCCATTGAGTCCTTATAACAGCCCTGCAGGGAAGGCATTTCCTCTATTCAGAGATAACTAATTTAATTCCTGGAGAGAGGTTGAAGTTTTCCAAGGTCACACAGCTAGCAAGAGCAGGGCAAGTCCAAGTCCTGTGGTAGCTCATGCTGTCCACTCTGCAGAAAAACAGCCCCCAGACAGAGACCTACCCCAGCTGAGAGCTAGCGGGTCCTATGCCGGCAATTCCAGTGGTTGCCACCAGGGGCAGGCAGTGCTGTTCACAGTGGTGCCTGGTGCTTCCCTGGGAGCTGGAGAGAAGGGTTGTGATGTCAGGTGGGAGAGCTTTGGGGGCGCTTCTGGGGGCTGAGCCTGCAGGAGGTGGGGAGAAGCCCTGCAATGAGTATGAGTGGGCTCTGGTGGTAGCATGACATAGCGTGTCACTGCTACTTTAAGCATCAAGCATTTGTATAGTAAATCCACTGAAATGCATTTTCCCTCAAGGCATGTGAATGGGTCACTGAGGAAGAGCAGGGGACAAGAGCGAGATGAGCTGAAAACAGGAGTTTAAAAGAAACCACCAAGGACCAGGGCTTGGAAAGAGGAAGCAGACAGAGGCACTGGGGACAGAATCTTCTTTTGGGACTGGCACAGCGGAGGCACTGACCTCAAAGCCATGCTAGCCACTCTGTATACAGATACTCTCTTTGAACATCAAGGGGCAAGAGCCAAGCTTCTGGAAGCAGCCAGAGAAAGGAAGGCCACCCCTCCCCTGCACAGGCTCCTGGAGGGAGGTGGCGTGTGGTGATATGGCAGGAGCCTTCACTCTGGATCTCATGCCTGATCCTGGCTGTGCCCTTTCTTAGCTGTGTGACCTTAGGAAGTCCTGTAACCTTTCAGAGCCTCACTTCCCCATCTGGAAAGTAGAGCTGGTGAGATAGAGCTCGCAGGGCTGTTATAAAGATAAAGCAGTGAAATGCTTAGCATGATGCCTGGCACATGGTAGGCATTCACTAAACGATTGATCTTGTTAATATTTTGGTTTTTCCCTAGGAAGTTCTTTAGGAAAAATACCAACTCTGTCTCCACTGAGCAAAGATGCACTGGGATTCGGGCATCCATACCTCCAGCTGGGTGGAAGCCAAGACAGAACTGGGGATCTGGGTGCCTGATAAGGGGGCAGTGGTGGCTGGAGGGGGGTAGGCTTGGGGAGGGCCCGAGAATATCAGAGCCATACCAGAATGAGGTACCGGGAGCGGTACTGGACGGTGCCAAAGATGCCCAGGATGACGGCCATGATGTGCAGGAAGTTGGCGAGAATAGGAGCCCACTGGTAGCCCAGGAAGTCAAAGATCTGCCGCTGCAGCGCAGCCACCTGTGGGAAAGAGCAGGCCGAAGCCACCGTCACCGCCAAAGGGACACGGACTCCTGCTTGGCCTGACGGGACAGGTGACACCAGTTACCGTGGCGATGAGGCACCAAGGCCTATTGTGCACCAGTCTGAGTCATCCCAGCTCTGTAGTGCCCAAGGGAATCTGGGAAGCGGTGGCAAATCTGTGGGGGCTGTGGGGGCGAGAGAGGGACTAAGCCCTGATCATCCCTTTGGGGTGGGCTGAAGGACAATGGGAGCTGGGGTTCAGAACACCCAGAGGGCCTCCCACTGGCACCCGCGCCTTCCCACGTGGCACTCACAGTCGACGGTCCCGGGATCCAGGCAGCAACCCCAGCCCTGACCGAAGACTGGAACATCGCTGTGGAGGGGTCAGGGAAGCCCTTGGGCTGGAGTTGTGTCTCTCTAAGACCCCTCCCTGGAGGACGCCCTGGTCAGTGGGATCCGTGGGCCACAGACTAAAGGACCTTTTCCACTCCCCCGGCCCCGCCACGCCCGGAGCTGCAGTAGATGACAACACGCCAGAATGTCCATGCTCTCCGGCGGCTCTCCCACGCTAGGGCTGAGCCCGGTCACGTGAGCGACTCTGGGAGCCGGTGCAGGTGAAGGCTGGGAGCGCGTGTTCTCTGGAACAGGCCCTCTCGCCCCTGCTGGCCGCCTTGTGAGAGAACCGCGGACCAGCTGGCGGATGAGGGGCCACGTGGAGAGCTGAGGGGGCCCAGCCACTGCCAGGCGACCAGCAGACCCTGAGCCAGGCCGACGGCGCTCCCAGATGCTAGTCAACCCGCCAGCTGGCCGGACACGTGGGTGAGACCAGAAGAATCTCCCGGCTGATGCACAGAATCCTTAGCTAACTGAAGTGGTTGTTTGAAACCCGGAGGTGTAGGAGTGATTTGTTATGCAACACGCGCCAACCGGTAAAGACCTCAGTCAGCACTCCCTGTCCAGCAGCCGGGGCTCATCTCAGCTACAAGCAGGCGCAGAGGCGCCCCGAGACCTAGAGTTACTGTCCAGTCTCCTTCTTCTGGTGACAGAATCCATCTCCTTGTTTTGGAAACCACCTCCGGGATACTCAGCCCATTAGGCTGGGGCAGGGCTGAGCCTATTCTTAACTTCCAAGTGGATTCTGGATCCAGGTCTAACCAGTAACCAACCCATGGGGATCTGTTCAGAGGTGGGCACTCAGCCGTGCCCCGTCCTGAGAGTCGCCTGGCTGTTTTCTGAACAATGAGGACAGAGTTGCTCTCTATCTGCCCTGCTATCTGATGGGTGTGGTGTCCGCTCTGGAGGCTGCTCCTGGCTGTCTTCACCCCTGGTGGGGACAGCCTGCCTGAGGAAGAAGGCTAAGCTCAGGGATGGAGTGGGGGACGTGGGAGAGGCAAGTCAGTGGAGGTCCTGCTGATGTGGCTTAGAGGCCTGAGGATCTGGCCGTGCCTAGAATGCATTCTCCTTCCTTATGCTTGGGATTTCTGTCACTTGCTTCCAGGAGTGCTGACTAAAATAAAAGGAGGCAGAGTCTGGCTGGGGAGAGAGAGGGGGATTCTGATAGACTGAGAAGATCCCAGAAGTTTTTTCCCTGGCAGGGAGACAGGAGGAGGTGGAACTGATGCTACCACACAGATGGCAAAGCTTGGGCAGAGACCCAGGAAGCTGCAAGCCCAGCTCTGGCGCCCACCCACCTGGCACCAGCCTGCCTCTTGTTGGTGACCCCCTCCCAGGGCTCTGCGGGTTGTAAAGAGTGCTCCAAGTTCTTCTCTCACTGGATACTTTCTGTTTTGGCAGAAAGGCAGAGCTAAGATCATGATCTCATTTTGAAGAAAGGGATCTTAAGGCTCAGAGAGGGGAAATGACTTGCCCAAGGTCACACAGCAGGTTGGTGGCAGAGTCAGGCAGCCATTCCACCTTTCTTTGCCACCTGTCCCACCTTGGCACCAATACGCCACCTTCCACAGCTGGTACTGGCCTGGGAGTTAAGAGGTGTGAGTTCTGATGAGCGTCTAACACTGACTCCTGGGTGACCTTGGGTGGTCACCTTCCCCTCTGGATTTCGGACTCCTCTCTGAGGTCTCCGAGGCCACTGGACTAAATGATTTCTTTTCTTTTTTGTAAAGATTTATTTATTTATTTTATACAAACACTGGGTACAGTCAGAAGCACGGGAGGGTGAGGGAATTCACCAGAGCCAGAGCAGGGAGCAGCGCAGGCAGAAGGACCGAAGTACACTGCTGAGGGGAGCAGCGGGCGGCAGGAGAGGTCTGCGCGCCATGTGGGACCCTCGCCGGCGGCCGGGGAGCAGCCAGGGATCGAACCGGCGCTGCAGAGGCTGCAGGCAGCTTCGCAACCCAGTGCTCAACCGCTGCGCCACCGGGGAGGCCCTGGACTAAATGATTTCTAAAAGGCCCTTCTGGTTTTGACCCCACTGGCTTGCCAGCCTTGGGGGAAAATGCTCCACGCTGCTCCCTCTCCCCAAAACTCCTCTTCCACTTTCATTCTCCTTTCCACTCTGCCTCTGCCCGCCCTGGTGGTTTGATGCCTGGACTCTGCTGGCACAAGGTCCTCACAAGATTATAATGAAGGACAAAGGAGAAGGCTAGGACAGTCGCCCACGCTCACAGTGCAGTGAGAGAGGATGTGCCCACCCACAATAGCATCTCCACACCAACCCTGGCTCTTGCTCAAAACCCCTGCGCTCTCGGGGACTTTGGATCGATGGAGTGAGCAGCAGGATAGTAACCGAACAAGCTCTGGAGTCACTACAACTCAGGCTCAAAGGGCAGCTCTGCTGTGTAACTGAGGGCAAGTTACTTTCCCTCTCTGGGCCTATTTTCAACTATAAATAGGGAAGATAATTCCTCCCTTGAGAGGTGATTGCAAGGATATGAAGATCACAGACAATTAGTTGTAATAAGTGGTGGTTAATCAGAAGACCTTATAGTCAAAGTTTCCTTGTTTGGTATTGAAGGCCTGCTAGGGTCTGGCTCAACCCTTTACTCCAGGTCAGCTCTTGCCCCGGCAGTGGCTGAAACCACAGTTGAATACCACCTTCGTTTCTCCTTCCTGACAGCCAGGTCCTCCATGGCCTTCAAAGTCCTCCTCAGCACCCCCTCCTTTCCTAGGAAGACCTCCCGACTGGCCCAAAGGGGAGAGAACTGGGGCCTCCCTGGAGGCACAGGGGGTTAAGCACCACACTATGAAGCAATTTACAGCCTCTGCAGCACAAGTTCAATCCCCAGCCGGCCAGGGAGCAACCCACATGGTGCAGCAGACTTCTCCTGTCTCACCCGCTGCTCCCCTTGTTAGGGGGAAAAGGCTGTCCTAAAGCTAATTCCATACAGGCTTTGTGGACTCCACCCCCACCCCAGGCCAAAGCCAAAGACACTGGGAACTCCAAATCCCATCACCACCCAAGGGAAGGTGGCTGGGACCTGAGGGTGGGGTTAAGCAGTCAGGTTGGTATAAAGCCAGACACGTGGGCTTTGGAGGGGTCCCCCATTTTGACTCTCCGCCAGCTCGCAGCGTCCGGCCAGCTCTGAGAGTGCCTTTGGGTTTCCAGGTCGGCGGATCGGGTAGGACGCATTAAAGACTTTATTTCCCTGTTTTCTCCCTGAGTTGTACATTTTCCTTTTCCCTTGTAAATAAACCTTTTATTAACCTTTTGTGTGTGCCTGCAGTGGAGTATTCATAAGTCCTTTTTAAGCGCGCGGGTGAGGACCCACAGCCAGGAACCCGCTCAATATCGGGGCTGCCCTATAACACCCTCAGCAGTGTATTTCAGTCAGTCTGCCTGTTCTGTTCCCCACTCTGTCTCTGGTGAATCCTCTCACCCCCAACACCTCTGGCCTGTACCCCAGCTCTTGTATGCATAAATAAAAATAAATCTTTAAAAAAAAACAAAGGGGAGAGAACTGAATATGGAGGACAGGCTTTCTTGTCCCTTTCAGACATTGCTCTAGCCTCACAGACAATACTCACTCCCTCGCTCATTCATCTACCCTGTCCATACCTATCTATCCAGCCAACACCTGACATGCCCTCATCATCCGGGGCCATCATTCATTTGTACACAGAGGGTTTAGTCTGTGTCAGGCGCTGTGCTGCCATTGGGATGCAGAAGTGAGTGAGTCGTGGCCCTGGCCTTTGGCAAGTCAGAGTGGACAGAGGCAGCGGGCGGGAAATCAGCAGTGAGCCAGTGTGGTCAGGCTAACCAGGCCCCCAGATGATGCTCTCCCTCCCGCCAGTGGTTGTCCTGCTGTGGCGCCAACTCCCCACCTGCATAGATTTAAATATACATACATCATATATATATATATATACACACACACATACACACATGTACTTATTTAAAAATGAGGTTGTGTGTCTCATAAACAATCTTGGTTCTAGTTACTACTTTTTTAAAAAAGATTTATTTATTTATTTATACAAGAACTGGGATACAGGCCGGAGGTATGGAGTGGGTGAGAGGATTCACCAGAGACAGAGTGGGGAGCAGAACAGGCAGACTGACTGAAATGCACTGCTGAGGGGAGCAGCGGACAAGACAGGAGAGGTCTGCTGCGCCATGTGTGTAGCTCCCTTGTGGGGGATCAAACTGGTGCTGCAGTGGCTGTGAATAGCTTCATAGATTGCAGCGTCTTAATCCCTTGCGTCACCAGGGAGGCCCCTAGTTACTACTTTTTATTGGGAAACCAAGTCAAAAATCTCAGAACTTCTGCTTGCACAGCAGTGACAGGTAGCTAATTAACAAATAAAGACAAGAACAAAAACAGGAGGACCATCTCCCCATCTGATTGCTCCAGCTTAGAAAGAATAATCTGAGGGCTCTGGGGGTTGTAATCTATAACTGGCCTTGGTGTCTTTTCTACTTTGATGGGAAGAATTGCGTGGAGACAGCAGTAATCTTTTTGCCTTTGCAAAAAGTTCAAGTGTACATGACGGGGCGGGGGGAACAAAGGACTTTGGGGATATTTTTATCTGCTCAGGCT